ATAATTGGGTTTATTGTGTGTGGTTTTAAAAGATATACTAGGGCTCTTTCACCCACTAGAGGTGTTTAGTTATTTAATTTATCAATTTGGTATTCGGGTTAAAGTTATTTACGAATGGGGATCATTTAGTGACGCGAGGGGGACCCAGCGTCACTGAGTGTCGCTATCATCCCCTAGCGTCACTCTCACTTTTTTTATTTTTTTTTACTTTTTTCTATTGAGTGCCGGCGCCCCCTCCCCTGGGGCACTCACAGAATTGTGCCAAGTGGCACAATCTGATTACTCCTATTACGGTAAAACTTCGGAAAGCCATAACTTTTGATTCGGGTATCCAAATTAGATGATTTTTTTTTATTTCACATAACTTTTCGAGATCTACGCAATGACATCTCATTTGACATATTTTATTTTCTATTAATATAGTTCAAATTTGCAACACTAATTACACTTTTTTACAGATTTGAATTATGTTTGTGAGAGATAAAATATGTCAATTGAGATGTCATTGCGTAGATCTCGAAAAATTATGTGAAATCAAAAAAAAAATCATCTAATTTGGATACCCGAGTCAAAAGTTATGGCTTTCCGAAGTTTTACGGTAATATAAGTAACCAGATTGTGCCACTTGGCACAATTCTGTGAGTGCCCTAGGGGAGGGGGGGCGGCACTCAATAGGAAAAAGTAAAAAAAAAAAAAAGTGAGAGTGACGTGAGGGGATGGTAGCGGCACTCAGTGACGCTGGATCCCCCTCGCGTCACTAAATGACCCCAATTCGTAAATACCTTGAACCAAATACCAAATTGATAAATAAAAATCACAAAAAACCTCAATCAGTGAAAGAGCCGATATACTAGTGCACGGAAAAAAAATCAAAAATTTTGTCGGTGCCTGTCCTTGATTAATCGTTAAAAGAAAGAACCGTATCAGTATTTTATGCAAATAAAAAATAGTTATGTACTTTATAATTGATTATTTTCATATACAACAATGCATACAACATCAAAGGTGATGAGAATATGAGATGCAAATTGTCCTACCAAAGAGAAATCATAAAAAAATGAGTTGCGCTCAATACTATCCAGAATAATTTTTACTAGTCGTGGATGCTCTCAATCAATAATAATATATCTTCATATGCAGCAATCCATATAATAGCAACAGAGATGAGATGCATATTGTCTTACCAAATAGAAATGATAAAAAATGAGTCAAAGTTCTTGTGCTCAATACTATCCAGCACATTGAACAGCACCTACAAAGGCAAAAGAAAAAAACATGAAAAAAAACAAATATGCTACAAAAAAACAACAACTATGAATAGAGTAAAAAATAAACCTTCTCCTCTATATTAGTCTTCAATACTCTTCATTGATTCAACAATACTACAAAATAAAATCAATTAAAACACATGAAGAAAAAAAATTAATTTTTTCGCTTAACATGAAGGAAATAATCAAACTAAATAAAAACGAAAATCAGAAAACATACCAACACCCTTGTATAATAATAAAAAATTTGTATGGATTTTTTTAATTGAGTGTCTATCAGTAGTAATCATTGGAGAGATAAGTTATGCACACACCAAGCATCTGCTTTACTACAATTCTGCTTTACTCTATCATAGTGTAAGCATCAACCAAGAATTGTTGGAACAGTTTTCTTGAGTGATGGAGAACCTGGGAGGCTGGGTCTCCTCTAATCTTATCTGAAGTCTAAATGAAACGAATTCTCTCATGCTGATGGTTTGTCTTACCCTTGTTTTACTACAGGTTATTAAAGAACGCTGGACATCATCACGATAACCATCTTCACCGTATGGAAATAACAAAAGATACTGCAAGCCCAGGTATAACGGAAGCTTCATATCTATGTGCTGCAAAATTTTGTTTTAGGTCTCAACAATGATATCCACCCATTGCACTATCAATATCTCCAACTATCAAAGCAGCAACCTCAGAAGCTGATGCAAGATTATAAACATTTCCATCACTGCCACGTCTTCGAATAAGCCTCAACCTATAACCATTCAATGTATCTTCACAGTAACTGTCCTTGGCGTATCGGAAAGATTGGGCAATACTATCGTGTTTATCTAACATGTCCTTCAATGATGACACAATTTTAGGATCCAACATATCTTCATTGTTTTTAGAACTGCAAAGATATTAAAAAAAATTGTTAAATAATAATGACAAAGAATGTATTATAAAAAGAAGAAAGTATTAAAAAATAATAGAAACTGGGCCTTAGGCAGCCCAATCTGTTGTCAACTTCATGCTCAGTATATCATATATATAAAGTTGAGCAAACTTCGGAGCCTGATGATCAATAGGAAGAAGCTTGCCCATTAAATGATAAACCTGACCTCCAACCCGAAAATAGTAAGGTTCAGAACCTGAATTTACTGACCCATCCACTTTTCCTCCAAAAGATGTGAAGAAAAATATAATGTTGTATGCTTTTATATTGCGTAAAAAATGACGGCTCGACACAGTTGAATTACTGTGTAGTTGAAGCAATGCATTCGGAGCAATTTTTAACAAAGGAAGTTTAACTTTTCCATTGACGCAACACATACTAAATTATGGTTTGCTGGCTTTGTGATCTTTCTTAATTGGCTCTTCATACCACATATGTGCTCCACAATGAACACAAACAAAAGTTGGATCCTCGACATCCCAATAATCTAAAGATACACAAAAGGTGAGAACCGAGAATTACAAAATAACATAATAAAGAACGTACAAAAGTAAGAAAAACATACCATGTTCAATATTAGGAGTGGTTGTTCTTTGTTAAAAATGGTCTGTATTAAAAAAAATAGATGTTCTAGTAATTTTTATGACACACAAATGGGCAAAAGAGATATGTGAATTACATATTTAAAAATACGTGTAAGAACATATATATTTTGAGATGCAATCATGAAAAAGATCAAAATATTTATCGGCGATCATCGTTGATTAATCTCTAAAAGAAAGAACATGTCACTATTTTCCTATAGATATATATATATATATATTAGTGTATTACCCTTGCGATGCACGAGGGAAAAAGAAATCGGTTTGTCTCTCTCATAAAAGTGAATGCAAATCGTAAAAGTATATCGCTGCATTTTATGCAATTGCGAAAATGAATGGTCTTTTGGATTACCATATTTAACTTCAACTACGAAGTGTTTATTGAAATATTAAACGTACTAACTCAAATATTTGTCAACTATACATGTACAAAAAGTTAAAGTTAGGTACCTTATAGTGTTAGTTAGACAGTAACGGCCTCCGGACCGGGCCCATTTTGTCATCTTTAACCGTCAATATTTTATATCAACATAGTTTGCCAGACCAGTAAATATAAGAGGAAAAAAAAATGTGTTGGCGGGCTAACCCGCCCGTTTGGAAGGTGGGGTGGGACGGCCCGAAACTCATTTTGCCACATCTAACTATCAACATTTTATACCAACATGTAATAAATAAAGAGTTGTCTCTAAATTGACTTCTGAAGTGTGTGTATTTGTGACAAATATATTAGATAAAGAGTTGGCAAATATGTGAGTTATTACGTTTAATATTCTAACAAACACTTAGCCACATAAAGACGAATTTGTTAAACAATAAATATAAGAAGAAGAAAAATGTGTTGGCAAGCGGGGGTGGGTCGACCCTCTGGGCCGAGACCAATTTGCTACTCTAACTATCAACATTTTATGTCAGCATGTAAAGTTTTTATATTTAAAAGTAATAAGTTATGGCTGATTTATATTTTAAAATCACATATAATTATAAATGCAATTTTACATTGGTTTTAAATATATATATTCAATTATTTGGTTTTACTTTTCAAAAATTGGCTAGTATTACTCCACAATTCGATATAATGACTAATTCTTTTGATTGTAAGTGTAATAACAACATCGGTTAAAATAAATAAATAAATAAATTATATATATATATATATATATATATATATATATATATATATATATATATATAAATATATATAAGTTGTTGCCCAATAGGGCGGACCGAGTCCATTTTGTCAACTCTAACCGTTAGCATTTTTATATGTTATTTACGTATAATTTACTCTCATGCTATAGATAGAATTCAAGCGGGATCCACCATGTCAAGTACAATTTATGATATGTTATTTACTTATTACAAATATCAAGTATAAAACCCCCTGGTTTACAAATATTATGATATTTTTTTAGGAAAATATTAGTCTCATGTTACACTCTTATGCTATAGAGAGAATTCAAGCGGGGTCCACCATTAAAAAGTAAAATAAATAAATAAAAAAGAAGTGATTCGCTTTTCGAAGTGAGAAAAATGAGATAACTATCTCATGTAAAATAAGAGTAATATTTTTCATTTTTTTAATATAGATGAATCTGGAGTGGACTACACGTTTTTGTTTTTTTTTTTGGTATTACGGACTACACGTTTTCATTCAAACCAACATTGGTTTACTTATCTATCAACTAGTAAATTAAGTAAGACCCATCCCTTTTTAAAAAGGGAAAAAAAAAGTGAGACACATCTTTTTATGTGAGTGTAACATGAAAGATGAATCTTATGTAACATAAAAGTATAATTTCCCATATAATATTGTACAAACTCGTGGCAAACACTTAAATAGTTAAGACTTGAGAGACTTTATGAATTTTTATTTTTATTTTTTTTCACTTCTGCATTTTTTTTATGTATGTTGGAAGTAGTTTGCATCTATCATATCATGAAACAAAAAAATTTCCTACACACACAATATTTTATAGGGCCCGCACTTTTTGAAGCAAAAAGAAATAAAAAATTAAGGCACGCAAAACGAATCTCTATAATATTACACAATCACTTTTCTTATAACTTAACTCTTATAAAACCCACGTTGGAAATATTAATTTTGGATTTTGTCTATCGAAATACTCGTCATTGTTTTATTACTACACTCTATAGATTAACAACTCCACGGTTCTAATTTACTAAATGAATATCGCACCAATTAATCCAATACAAAAAACAAAATGCTAAATTAAGAATAAAATCAGCGAAGAAAAGACTATATACACACTATTCACCAAAAAAATAAAAAAGAAGACAATAATATACACACAATTTGTTATGCACAATCACAACTTGAGTTGTTCAAGGACATAATCTGCAACTTCAGAGGGGAAATCTATTATTTTCACATGTCATCAAATCAGCTATTCTTTAAAGTAGACCCCTGTTGTTAGTCATTGTTTTGGTTGTCAACCGCGTAACGTAACATCCACCACCTCTAGCAATCAAATATCTGGCGTTCCAAAAAGAAAAGCCAACGTGTCTGTCTGTCGAGACATGAGCAACGCAGGGATAAATGAATAATTGCATGTGCGCGCTCGCAGTTTGCTTTTATAGGCTGAAGCTAAAATACAACTAACAAGTTACTAAAATAATAAAATAAAATACAACAAACAAACAAACAACATAGCAGACATAGAGCTGAATCAGAGAGAATATATACATTATCTCGATCCAAGTTCCATCGCCATTGGATGCCGGAAGCAGTAATAATCACTGAGATGAACTCCGCCTCCATTGTTATCGTCCAACTTATATTACTGTCTTCTTTGAGAAGACACATCCTCCAGATCTCCAGAAAAAACAAAAATGGAGATTAACAAAATTTTTGAGACTATGGCAATTCCAACCGAAATTGAGGGTCATCACGGACCCTCTTGGGCTTCCAGTCGGATTCTTGCTTGCTTTGTCGAAGAGCAACAAAATGCAAAGCATCACTCTGCACTTGATAGATATGACAGGTCCATGGATATGAATCAGGTGAAGACCAAACCTTCTGCTCTTCAAATGCAGTTTCCTCAACCAGTGACTCAGCAATGCAGTAAACAAGATCAGGCTCTGGTTCCATATAACCAGCAACAACAACACATCCAGGAGAAACAAATCCATCTGGAGCCCGTGGGTGCCAAATTGACACTGGAGTGACATAATCTTCTAAACAATTTCGCCACACCTACAGAGGATGTCAAACCATTCTTAGGTTTTAAGGCATTAAACCTCTTACGTAGTCAGTCATGATTACCATTGTCTGCTAGTGCAAGCATTTTGGAAAAACACAACAAAAAGACGAACGGTTCTTTTTCTTTATCAAATGGCAGCTAAACAACATCCCCATGTCATACAAAACTCTTCCGCAATTAGAAATAAACATAAAAGAGTAGTGCCTATATTTGAAATCAATGTCATCTTATTATCTACAACGAGGTATGTAGAGTAGTGAATTTAATTTGAAAATTAAGGACAAAATTATCAGCTATTGGTTGAAAATCATTATTCTTAAAATAAATGAAAAAGTGTTTAAATGATTAAAGCCTCTCTGCTACAGGCATGAACCATCTGTGACCAATAAATGGTTGAGGGTGACATGTTTTCTTACAACTCTTGAATGGCAAGAAAAATGTAGTCCTCCCAGATATCTTGGCCAATAAAGTAGAAAAGAATCCAACAAAAAAGAAATTATAGCTAATCTCTATAAGTTCTGGAACCATCATTGTGGTTCGAGCTTTTTTGCTTGTGAGGTTCTTATCCTACCTTCTTTAAGCCCAAGAAATCTCTTCTCTTCCCCTGCTGCAGGTTCCCTCATTACCATTTTAGGATATGCTAGTTTGAGTAGATGGAAATGGAGTAGTAGAAAAATTGAAATGAATATTACTTTAACTTGGTACAACAAAAAGAAGAAATATTTGAAAATAATCAATTTACACTCCACTCAAAAGTTTTGGCCACTCCTATCGCAATAAAGAAAGCTGAAATGATTTTTATACCCTCTTCCAAGCAATAATGTTCACTATTCTCCATCCACTCAAACAATCATGGCCTTAATGTTTTAATTTTGATTGCTGAGACATTGGGAGAGTGGTTAGCCCTTGATATTGGCTCAAGGTTATTCCAAGATTTTCTTCTTTGTTCTGCTAGACCAATGTTTCTGCACTACTTCATGAACCTTCCCAAGGCTGGGCACTTATAATTTTCATAACTGTTTTCCTTTTACCTTAGTTGAGCAGAACCTAGGTAAAACAGATAAATATCTTGTAGAAGGATTTACTGTGCAAGCATTAGTGTCGTAATGTTGTACTAGTTGCTTCCATGTCCCTCCCCCTCCACACAAAAACATACCTGAACATTTTGTTTTTCTAAAACTGAAGAATATAGCAGAGTCAATAAAATTTTGCTTCATATTTACATCGATTTTCTATTATTTTCTATTATTTTCGTTGGGAATAGGCAAGGCGTTTATCTTCTTTGGAAATGTTTGCAGTCATATGAATATTATAACATGCTAACTTGTACTATTAACATCAATTATAGCCTTACCAGGTCATACCCCTTCGGGAGAGCAAAAAATCCATCAGTCTTGCGGTAGACAGCAGCAACATTTGGAGGATGGATACCCACATGAGCAATATCCCCAATATATGTATACCTGGAAAGGTAATTGTTTTCACATTACAAATATTTACAGGATCTCTGGTGTAAAGGCATGCTCTTTCAAATTTAATTAATTCAATTAAACGAAAGCACAATAAAACATTTGATTAATATAAGAAAATGGCTTTCACAATTCCACATGACTTAATCTGTCACTCCAAAGCTGAAGAATAGAGTCAACATAAATTACAGAGAACATCTCTTTTCAGCTTCAATTCATAGGAAGAATGAGTAAACCTAACTAGATCAGTGATGGGATTGCCTCTAATGACATATCGAGTTGGTAAAATAGCATTGGCCAAGAACACTCCTAGTCCTCTAATGACATATAAGGGAAGGATCCCTAAACCTAACACCATAAGGTTTTGTGAACCCATTAATGGTAGTTCTCCCCCTACCACAGGCTCCCTCTAACCACTACCCAATAGTGGTATTAGAGCCAATGATTGATTGACTTGTATAAACCGAGCATCCAAAAGAGATGAAAATACCTAAAGCAGGACGATCTATCTCTTCAAATCCAAGGTCAAACTTAAGTATGCATATGGAATTTGATAGGAGGTCAATATTTTTTTTTTTTAATTTAATATATTAAGAGAATTAGGATAGATTGGGATCGTCACACTCGGTGGTTGGTAGCATTAACATGTTTGAGAACTTCCAAAATAATCTGATAAAAGTTTTTATCTACCTGGATTCGTTATTTCCAGGACATCATTAAATTCTACAATTTTTAATAAATAATTTAATTTTCCTAAGTTTCTGATTGTTTGATATGATTTCCACTCTTTAACTAGTAGAAAAATTCCTTAACATGATTACCATTTCCTAACTCACGTGCAACCACAAAATGCAATAATATATACTTCGTAAAAAAGAAAAACGATAATTACCCATCAGGACAAATAGGCCTCCAAATGCTACATATGCTGGCATCTTGCGAGATCTGAAACATAAAATGGCTTGTTATACTTGAAACACCACTAAATCAGTTTTTGAATTTCGTGCCCCAGTGCTTATTCAAGCAACTTCAGCAGGAAATTAGTAAAGGAGAATAGTAAAGCACCTGTTTTCTGCATAACGAGCATCGACCTTTGTATTCTTGTTCACTGCTCCAAATCTTTGAAAAAGTAATGCTGTGTCTAACAAATCGCCTGTCAACAGGGGCAGTGCTATATGATGAGATCTCTCTTGAACTAATAATGGCCTTATTGGGGGTACGTGGTTCTCTACTATCCACTTCAGTCCAGGAAAAATATACATTTCTCTGACTTGAAGGAACCTGGAAATGATAATTCTATTAAAATTATGTTCCACTTCCTGAAAAGAACCAGGGTTTAAATATCACTTACTTTCAGAATCAAGCTTTTCATGTCAGACTGATATGCCTTCCATATTCTACGCACTACTGAACATATCTTAACAGCATGGGGTTCACTTTCTTCAAATACTTCTCCACTATTGCATTTTATCACTCGAACAAATTTTTCAGATCTCCGGAAATGTTTCAGATGGAGGATCAAGTGAGAGGGTTGGGAACTGCCTGCTTTCGCCAACTCCAGTGCCATCAGCTCATCCCAAGGTACATCCCACATAATCTTGCAAGGTTTTTTATCCATCTTGTCAGGAGCAAGACACTATAAGAAAACAGCAAAGTCAGTTATGTTATTCTCTAGATGAGATACATAATCCCTAATCCATATGACCAATCTCCTTGACTAACCTGAAGCAACATGACTCGTTTATTCGTAACTACAACAATTCTCTGATGAGGCACACTAAAATGCTCTTCATAATAATCAGACAATGCAAATTTTGAAGGTTCTTTGAAAATCTCAGTACAGCCAAATTGCCGACTTGCCTCTCCAAGGTAAAGCACCATCTAAAACCCAGCAAACAAAGAAATGAGACAAGCAAACATATATAAACCGTTGTATGACATAACATATATGCAATTTACAGACTGACAGACAGAAGATTTCAAAACATGCAAATCTTGCTAGGTAGCCGGCAACGTATCATGGGCAAATCTTTTCCAGGGACAAGCTGCTCATTTTTCCATGTAATACAAATATAATTTCATCAATAAATAAATAAATAAATAAATAAATAAATAAAAGTAAGCCTTATACCCGTTTGTAGCTGTATAAATGATTAATATGAAGAAATGGAAACCCCCCTTACCCTCCTTACTGTAGGCTGGAGTTTACATCAGTAGTGTTTGTCCTAAGCATATTTTGCAGGAGAAAATATAATTTATTAGTGCTTCATGGTTAAATTTATATAATGTGGACTTTGAGTGCACCCAGAATAAAGGGCATAGTCATCTTTTCATAGTGTAGTTCGAATAGAGGGGTGTAAGGTCAGTGTTTTGTATCATAAGCACTCAATCTCCGCAAGAGTATCTTGACAGTATTTTAGAATATCTAGGCCTACTTATTAGTATAAATAAATGGGACCAATGAGTTAGCATTTTCTATCACATCATCACACACAATATCAGTATATTCTTATATTGATTATTCCTTTTCTATCTCTTTCTTTGCTGTACCTAAGCTCTATAATTTCAACAGCGTCATTAGTGGAATGTATTTTTATGTGTCTCTCTATCTCTTTGTCTTTTCCATATAATAAGTAAAATTTCAATTCTCTGATCAAGGGCAAAAGTACTCTCAAATCTTCGTAGGTTACATGGTAAAACTTCAAATGTATCATGAAACGTCATTTCCAGAGATAGGAGGTGCTCATTTTTCATGTACTACAAATATAACTCCCTCAAATAGTTCGAAAAGAGTTCATTAGCCCTCAGTAGCTACATAAACAATACGTTCAAACTTAATGGGAACAAATGAAAAATATGACAACCCCCCATGTTCCCTACCACCAAAAAAAATAATAAAAATAGTTCAGAATACTCATAGAGAAGTAATTAATTACCACACCTGCCCAATAGCTTCTCTCTCACAATATTCTCTAAGTATCCCATTAGCATGTATAGCCCGTGGATTTCTAATTCTGTGGAAGGTGGTCTTGCTGTTGAAAACTTCGAAGCATTTGGAACAACTTGCACCAATTCCATCAACAGTCAATGAGAAAAAATCTAGTGCCCCACTTACTGGTTGCACAATGAAACCTAAAAAGGCACGTCCAAGCCCATGAGCCAATCCTAGGAGACCATTCTGTCGGGCACTCTCGACAGGCTTTCTCACTACACCAGAGACCCCAAAGGCAACACCTTGGGCAAGAGCTTCAGTTCCTTGAATGATCCCATCCCCAACCCCAGTGATTCTCCTTGATCTTACCTGTTGCAGTGTTAAAGTCATCTTGGTTTACATGGAATTACAAAAGTGATTAAGACAAAAGTGTTTACCTGCTTTGCTCGTAATTGCAGAAATTGTCCATCCGTGGAAAGCTCAGCGAACCCTCTGCTAAGAGAAGCCAACGTTGAACTTGTCATACCTAGTACATCCACTGAAAATATTAAATGTAAGGGATTATGAATCAAATCTCTCCAAACGCGGTTTCCAATGGCCGGAACAATAGAACTTTTTCGCATGAATCTGTCTCTGTGCATCACCCTCCTCAGATGCACCTAAAACAATTGGTCATAGTGTTAGGATTGTTAATTTACAGATGGTCACATCATGTTCCAGAATGAAATGCCATTCTGGATGAGGAAAATGTGGCAACACAATTATAGGATTACAGATATTTAGGGAAAACAAGAAAAACTCTAAAGTCCAAGTGCACTCAAGCATTCACAGTGGTGCACAGAACTTGCAAGTACCACAGTTCCAGATAATCCTTGCAACGCAGAAAAGCAAAATTCTTCTCTTTGGTATTCTACTTGTGACTGTTCTCGAGGGAGTAATTTCTTATATGCAAACAGACTGGATAGCCTTGCGGCATTCTTTAATTTTCCATGCTACTTGTTCTAATTTATCATGATTTGGAAGATAACCTATCCTCGGCTATTTGACCATTGTGCCCTTTTTTAATTTAAAAAAGTACCACTTTGCCCCCGTTATACACCAATATGCCCCAGTTTGACCAAAATACTCAAGTATATCAAGTCTCATGAACATATACACGAGTATATGACCCAGATACTCGAGTATTTGCTGTTTCTGGGCATGTACTTGAGTACATGGGCAACAAAACTTTTCCAACGCGTAACTCGAAAAATTTTGTGAAATCAAAAAAAAAAAAACACCTGATTCGGACACCCGAGTCAAAAGTTATGCCCTTCTGAAATTTTTTAATAAAACTTCGGAAGGCCATAACTTTTGACTCGAGTGTCCGAATTAGGTGCTTTTTTTTGTATTCCATATAACTTTTCGAGAGCTATGCGTTGGAAAAGCTTTGTAGAAATTCTTTTGAACATATACTAGAGTACATGCCCATATACTCGAGCATATGTTTATGAGACTTGATATACTCGAGTATATGGTCATATACTCGAGTATATTGGCCGGTCAATGGTCAAACATGGGTAGATTGGTGTATAGTTTTAAGATCGGGATAAAGTGATAATTTTTAAATTAAAAAAGGGCAAAATAGTCAAATAGCCACTTATCCTCCCCTTAGTTCTACAACTCCATTTTCACATTTCATTTTTTATTTTTTAACACAATCACTTGAATGATACTGAATATTATTTCTGAATGAAATATTGTTCATGAGTTCATTCTAATATACAAACGGTTAGAGATGTAACATAAATTTTCGTCTAATAGCTTATGCTTTTGGGATAATTAGTTCATCTAATGTCATTTAGAGGAGACCTAACTAGATAATTACCTGCCTAAAATAATGCTTGATCTATGATGATAAAATATTTTACAATGACTATAACAATTTAGAGAATATTATATGGTAAAGGATGCTTGATGCGGGACTATTACAACACAATCATATAAATTGGAACAAATAAAAATTAGGAAAAATAGATAATGTATGTTGAGGTGTCAGAATATTAAGGATAGAATTACATGCTACACTATCTGAAGAGCAAAATGACAATTGTAAATAATCATTTCAACCCCAAAACTTAAACTTTAAGGTGAAGACACATTAATGATTTTTTTTAAATTTTATATTATATTTCTCTAACACGCCTCTTCTCACAAAAACCCATTGGACTTGAAGGGTGAACAATGCACAAGCTCACCTACCTGTGCTAAGAAACTCCACAATATTTAATTATTTATTAATAAAAAAAGGAGCGATAAAGATCGAACTTGTGGCCACCTGGTCAGAGGCTTTGATACCACATGTAAAGAACCACTTCAACTCAAAAGTTTAAACTCTTAGATGAAAGCACATTAATATTTTATATATTTGAGACCATATTTCTCTAGTACGTACCATGATAAAAACCTGGCAGATATTCCTAGTGTTCATCCAAGTCTACATACATTTTAGAGCATGATGTAGTAGTGTCATCACATTTAAAATAAAGGAAAGGAGAATATACACCCAAAAGATTCAGCTATCAGGTGAATACCACATTAATGATTTTATATTATATTTCTCTAACATGGCAAATGACAAATTGCAATTGAGTGTAATTCTATGTATAGATTACATAACTTACCTGTATCTTGAAGGCATTTCCAACGGCTGAAAGTATAGGACTCCATATGCCCAGGACCCCATGAGGTCTTTGTCCTGGAGCAGTCTCCAGTGAAAACTTCAATCTTACTTCTGAAACATCTACTAGGCTGCAAAATTAAAAGGATCAACCAATTAAATCACAATATATCCAGACAAAATCACACAATAGTAACATAAAACAGGTAGGGTAAACTAATTGTTCTCGAGTAAACAGAACTATCTCGAGCTTAAGTAGTGCACAACGGCTTGGTTGCATTTGAGTACATACTACTTAACCAGGATCCCACTCTCCAACTTAACTTTCCCCCCAATAAACTCAATTCAGATGCAGCCACATTAGTAGGTTATGAGTTTTTTGGCGATAAAGGAAAAATTTATAATTAAAAAGAAAGGAAATAGAAAATATATTCGAGCGAGGTAGGAAATCCTCAAACTCAAAGTCACTTGGACCTAAAGCATGCAAAATCCTTTGACCTGAAGCATCGACAAAAATCATGCTCATCATTATCTAGGTATGTGATTTAACTTAACCAGGAAAAATAGAGGTGGAAGGATTGAACTCAAAGTCACTTATCGAAGAGGCTCTCTCATACCACATCGACTAACCAATCATCCAAACATCTTAAGTTGTTAGGTGCAAACCCAAGAGCACTTTTACTCCAAAAGGTTAAGTACCAGATAAAGTTTTCAATAATATAACTTTAAATCATGCTTCCACAGATACATATATGCTTTTGGGGGAAAAGATGAAATGAAAATGTAAATTGCGGTAAGGTTTCTCCAAAATAAGAGTTCTCCACTCTAGAAATCCAATACATTTGTGTCACCACTTTGTAGCTCACTCATACAAATATGCTTCCTTTGCCTTTGAAGTTATTTCTAGAATTAGAAATAACTTCAAAGGCAAAGGAAGCATATTTGTATGAGTGAGCTACAAAGTGGTGACACAAATGATTTATTATAAGAGGGAAAGCACAAATCCGCAAGGTACAAAGAAAATAACCATAAATAGATAAAAAGCACATCCGCACAAAAGAACACCTAGTCCCTTTGTAAGTCTGCCCTAAGAAAAGCTTGGGCATTAACCTTTGTTAGAGTAGTTGTTAGAATAGTTCAGTGTATATAATAGAATAATTCCACATCTTGTGGGCTTAGCCTATTAGGTCTTTTAGTCTCATTAAATAGAGAGCTCTTGTACATTGTAACACACTATTATTCAATATACAATTATTCTATTATTCAATGGTACCAGAGCTATTTGTTATGGGGATCCACTTCCGCTAAAACCCTAAGCCCACTGCTTGAGTATTCTCTTTTACTTTGCCGTGCGTCCTTCCGGCAAGTCAAATAGATAAAAAGCACATCCGCACAAAAGAACACCCAGTCCCTTTGTAAGTCTGCCCTAAGAAAAGCTTGGGCATTAACCTTTGTTAGAGTAGTTGTTAGAATAGTTCAGTGTATATAATAGAATAATTCCACATCTTGTGGGCTTAGCCTATTAGGTATTTTAGTCTCATTAAATAGAGAGCTCTTGTACATTGTAACACACTATTATTCAATATAAAATTATTCTATTATTCAATCTTAAGTTGGTACCAGAGCTATTTGTTATGGGGATCCGCTTCCGCTAAAACCCTAAGCCCACTGCTTGGGTATTCTCTTTTACTTTGCCGTGCGTCCTTCCGGCAAGTCTTCATCAGCCGTGTGTCCCTCCAGCAGATCCTCTACACCGTGCATCCTTCCAGCTTGTTTCTTCAACCGTCAGAACCACCAATCGCCTTCGGAACCACTGTTCGTCACTGTTCATAGCCACCAGAGTACTGTTCCGACATCGATTTCAACCGAAAAGCCTGCGATCAGAGTCTGTGGAAGACCCATCACCAGAGGAGTCCCCACGCGTGGCTCCTTCCCCCTGCACGTGGTGCTCAAGCGCCACCCTTCACCAGCGCATGTGTGCTATTCCGGCTTCCTTTTCCGGTGGTTCCGAGATAGAATAGCTCGGTTTTTCCTTCTCTTTCCAGATCTGTGCTTGGTTCTTTGTAAGTCTATCTTTCAGCGCGTGTTTCTTCTTGATTGGCTATCGTTTGCCGTCGTTTACGCTTTTATATTTTGTTTTTAATGGCAGTAGCATCCCCTAATCACTCGAAGGTTAACTCTCCTTCTCCTCCTGCCAAAACTTCCTCGGGTATCATCTCTACTAATGTTGGGCCCATTACCTCTTCCAAACTGAAGGGTTTTGATAACTACAAGAATTGGGCCACCTTTGTTCGTGTCAGGTTTTTTGGACAGGGGCATGGGTGTCATCTCACTATTCCATCTACTGATATCCCTAAGGCTGAGAAATCTGATTTGGAAAGGATTGATAATAAACTTCTGAGTATTTTTTGGCAATCTATTGATCCAATTGTTTTGGACATTTTCTATTCTTTTCAGACATGCTATGAAGTGTGGGAGAAAGCCAAACACCTCTACACTAATGATATCCAACACCTCTATTCTATTATGTATCAACTCATGAATTTGTGCAAATCATCTGATATTCAGATGGAAACATATATTGGCAAAAGTCGATCTTTGATGCAGGCGTACTTGGACATGTTGTCCTACCCTTCTGATGCTTCTGCATATCAAAAACAGGTGGAACATCTCTTTATGGTTACCATTCTTTTTGGTCTTCCCGAGGAATATGATGTTGTCCGTACATCAAAGGAGCACCAGGGAAAGACTTATTATATTCAGATCAGGAAAATACATAAACTTGTGGTTATTCAGATCCTGATTGGGCAGGATCACCCTCGGATATATGCTCTACTTCAAACTATTGTGTCTTTTTTGGAGGAAACCTAATTTCTTGAAAAAGTATGAAACAAACTGTTGTTGCCCAATCTAGTGCAGATGTCGAGTATCGTGCAATGGGAGTTGCTACCTGTGAGCTAATCTGGTTAAAGCAGTTGATTCAGGAACTCCATCTTTATGAACAGAAACAACCTATGACACTCATTTATGACAATCAAACTATGCTACATATATCCTCTAATACTATATTTCATGAGAGAGCCAAACTTATAGATATTGATTGTCATTTCATTCGAGAAAAGATTCAACAGGAGAAATCAAAACACGCAGATGTCTCACTAAAGCTCTTAGAGGTCCTCGGGTTGAATACATTTGTAACAAGCTAGGTGCTTACAATATATACGCACCAGCTTGAGGGGGAGTGTTAGAGTAGTTGTTAGAATAGTTCAGTGTATATAATAAAATAGTCCCACATCTTGTGGGCTTAACCCATTAGGTTTTTTAGTCTCTTTAAATAAAGAGCTCTTGTACATTGTAACACACTATTATTCAATATACAATTATTCTATTATTCAATCTTAAGTACCCTCAAGGAGTCTAAGACAACAACCCAGTCCTATAAAATATGTAGAGGAAGATTATTCCTAACAATTCTGGAATTATGCTTCAGACAAAGTGATAAACACACCAAACACCAGCAAAAAAGTGCACAGATCTAAATGACATCAATGAATGCGACACTTAGATGCATTTCAAGGAAAATTAGACTAATTAAAAGTAGATACATGTCAATCATGCATGAAAGAACTCTAATACAAACACAAGGGTGATATGTAGGAAAAAAGGGTTGTTATGCAACCTTACCCTTGCATTTCTACAAAAAGGTTGTTTTCCAGATTCAAAGGTTATAAAGGAGTAACCTTACTACTATTCAAAGGCTCACCCTCATATAGGAGAAATGTAACAAATGCATGAAATCATTTCTTTTGTTCATCAAATTCTCTTGCAATGGCGAAGAGAGATATTATATAGCCTTTATGCAAGCTTCAAATTGTCAGTGCATTGCTAGAAGATACATGCACATATAATTAATTGACAAGCAAAAATGGTGGTTGGTGCTGAAAGAGGAGATAAAAGCCAAGAAAAAACGCAGCTAGCTATAATATACTGAAAATCTTGAACAAAACCACAACCATATCTTGAAAAATCTAAAAAAAAAAAAGAGAAAAAGAAAAAGAAAATTACTCAAAACGTATCTCTGGATCAACTTCTGTGACAGTTGAACTTTTAGGTAAGCGATCTAGCTGCAGATTGTTGTAGAAGTCCACGATAGCCCAGATAATAGGTTCATGAATATCAAGCCTCCAGCATTTCTCAGTTACCTGGAGTGTCCAATTTTGAAGGGATTATAAATAATAATATTTAAATATTTTAAATTTTAATTTTACCAAAAGAAAATCAGAATATTTTCTCAGATCACATCCTAGCATCAAATTCAACAATACATACCCGTATATAAACATAAGGGTACACTTGAATTCCATCTTTATTCTCATTCTGCATAGTAATTGTCATCTTGAATACCGGGTATTGCACATCAGAGGTCTGCTCTGGTGCCAATAGCACAGGCATCAATGTTAGAGGGAGCTGGTTGTCCAGTTGCAAATAACCAAATATGAGCTTGAACCTGTCAAAATAATGTCTAAAAATCAATTTTTTTTCTACTTATTAAAAAAAAAAAAACCAATTTTCTGGAGTATGCGTGAGTAAACTCAGAAAAGATGAGATAGCAACCGGCAAGATGATATATCAATGAAATTATTATTTGCAGTTTTTAATCATTTTGTCATATAAAATTGACAACTCGTCATAAATAAAAGGAACTACCAGGTGGTCATTGCGAGATCGAAAGGGAATCCGAGAAGGTCATCAAGAGTAATGCATGGGCTAAGACAAGTATAGATCATATAAAAAAGAAACCCTAGCAAAATCACTGTGTGTTTTGACATGTAATAACTCATTTAAAAAAAAGGTTACTGAGAAATTATGATAGACTTCAACACCCTGGAGGAAAGACAGAAACCTACCCTGAAAATGCCCAAATAAGCCCTCACCCTATCCTAAAAAAGCAACTCAAAATCTCATGCTTTTATCAGAATACACATTTAAAGTAATTTTTTTTACCATTAATTGGTAATCAGGATAAAATATGCATTTTATATACATGCCATTTTTTTAAATGAAGCACATAACTAGCAGCATAAAATGAAAAATCATGCCACATATATATAGAACAAGTAAACATGAGGTTGTGTGTAAGAGCGCATCAGCAGCCTCCTGCATAGCTAGTTGAATATGATAAGGCTGTTACCTGCTTGTCCTTCCACCATCATAGCCAGTTGAATATGTTAAGGAGACCCTCTCCAAGTATAAGTATGAGAGCTCCTTTGGTCTATGGTCCACCATAGAAATTCCAACCACTCCTAACTCAATTAAGAGCTCAAAAGGTGTAACACTGTTCTGCGTCTCAGCCTTAGTACCAGAAACTCCCCACTTTCCAACAGGCATTGGGCCTCTAATCTCTTCAATTGAGCTTGAATTCAGTATCCTTTCATCTATGAACTTTGCAATTATTATATCTCCCCCATCAATAACATGGAATTGCAGTCCAAATTCTGCAGAACATAACCCAGTCCTTTCCAAATCAAGTTTCCATATTGCATTGCTATCATCAGCTCTAAGCTTAGCATCTAAAAACTTATTGCCGTAAGGATCTTCCCAAGAAAAATTTGTTGTTGACAGAGGTTGCAACTCAATCCAGGCATCTTCACCAAATCCAGACTGCCGGATGCTAAGTGCCTTATTTGTTGTTCTGTTCTCAATTCTGTTCCAAGCAAAGTTAGCTTCTCGCACAAAGAAAGACACTCATGCAAGCTTCTCATTCACAGATTTAGACAGACATATGACAAGACACTGAATTTGTTTTTTTATTATTCTTTTGGGACGGGGGAGGGTAAAAAACTATGAATTGGTGCAATATCACAAAGTGATATTTTGGAATATGAAGACTTTTTTATTTTTGGTATAAAGAAAAAAGAACATAAATTGGCTACATTGGCATATTACATCACAGTCCTATAAAAAACAGAACATGCAAAGACTCATTTATTTGTCTCACATTTATTGCTAGTTAAGTTTGTCCATTTTCCTCATATTTTAAAATAAACACAATATCAAAGCATATATAAGCAAGATAAAAAAAAAAAAAAAAAAACTTTTTCACCTTGACAAAGATATAATATAAAAACTATTCACTGAAGCAGAGAAACTTTACCAGATGGCCAACACCAATGCTACAAATCCATCTGGAAAGTACATATAATGCTCGCATCCCATCCATAAAGTGAGAAGTGAGAAGAGAAAAACAATTAAATGAACTAATAGTGTATGTCAGAATGTTTGAGAATATCTTGAACGTATTTTATAATATTTTTAGAATATGTTGTGGAATTAATGTCATCTAATTAAGGAAACAATCTTAGGAGTTTACCTCCTAATTTTTCAATAGGTTTCTTTATTTAATTAAGGTTAGATGTCTTAATATATTAGCGGACTTAGGCTTGTACTGACAGTACAATACTAGTGCTTGACTTAATTATAAGTATAAATAGTTATTAGTACTTTTTATTACACACGTGTGTCTTCTCAGTTAGCTTAGATTCTGTTATGAAAGTTAGTTTTGGTTTTACTATAAATGTAACGACCCAACCAGTATAATGTGAGTTTTCACTCATAAGTTTTCAGATCAAAAACTCTAGTGTTCTCTCTTGCTCGTCTCTCACTTTCTTCTACTTTCTACATCAAATCAATCTAATATCATACTGTTCAGAGGGAAAAAAAAAATCTGAAATATTCTATGATCCCTGGAACTATTATTCATGATGTGTAGATGTAGCCCACATAAGGCCGGGCTCCAAGTTTTGAGCAGCATGGCCAGATTTACACTGGAACAACCTGAATTGACAGCTCTTTTCTACCATATTTTAACAGAATTTCAACAAACTGTTTAAAAAACCAGCCATTTGGAAGGTCTACATCTGTAGGAATATTCCTCAACAGTGAAAGAGACTTTATGGGAGTTTTTGCAGCTGTTATTCATTATGAGGCAACTAAATAATCATAACAGTTATGAGATAAACTCATATAATGAGGAACCTCGTAGAGGATAGGCAGACAATTGTATTGTGTGTGTTTGGCTGAGACATCATCTCAGATTTAGGGGCTTGTCCCTTGCAAGAAAGTGCTGTTGTATTACTATCTATCTCAATAAAATAAATCCTCCCTTTTTTTTTCTACTCCTTATATTCTCTTAACAACAATTTTTGGGATTTCCAGTCAATGGTGTGACAATTTTGGTCCAACTTGCCGGATCCCATGGAATCGAGGGAGGAAGCCTTAGAGAACTTTATTGAAAGCCTTAGACAAGAGACCGGAGAAAATAGTCGACGTCAGGAAGCATGGGACAAAAAAGTTTGAGGGGATAGAAGAGATCCACGTGCTCGTAAAGGGAATGTCTAGTTTTTGACAGAACAGATCTGCCGGAATTTTTTTTGAAATCCAAGAAATACCTTCCCAAGTAAAGGGACAATTGACCTTCGTAAGCATGGAAGTAAGTGTTGTTCACGGTTCCGGTTTTTAAGGAAGAGGGTTTCCAACCTCTATTGGGAAGGACTGATGAATGCAATGATTTAACGATTTGGGAAGTGCTCTCAAGTAGTATATATGAACAGCTCTAGACTATACAATAAGAGAAGAGGGGGGGGGGGGGGGGGGGGGGGGGGGGGGGGGTTAATGAATACATAAAAGAATTTGAAGCTCTTGTTGCCCGGGATGCCAACCTTGGTGAAGAACAAACCATGGAATATTTTTTAGGAGGGCTTAGACCAGAAATCAGAAGCCGAGTCAAAACCCATGAGCACAGAGACATGATGCATGCCATGAACATCGCCTGAGACATAAAAAAGGAGATACGAACGCTCAGGTATGGAGGAACGGCGAGCCGCAGCATGCCTAGGAAAAAAGCTTGCGAATCACCATTTTGGGAGAAGACAAAACCAGTGACGGAACAGGAGAAGAGAAGGCATCTAGAACTGGGAACAGTGATGTGACACGAGGCAAAACAGGGGCTGAATCTGAACTACAATGACAGAATCGTTTTGCTACTTCTAAAGAAGAATGAGATCTAGTGTGTGTTCGTATTAGCTCATTTTGTGTTCTGAAAAGCTTATAACCAAAAGGACCAAAGAGGAATCTTAAGATGAAAAAGCCATTTTTGTGTAAAAATAAAGGAAAACCAAGCATGATCCTACAGATGTATATTGTTCTTATGTGAAAGCGACAAAATTTCAGTCACATAAACTATACAATTAAGAGATCTTATTTCTGAGATACTGGCAAACCATTTGAGAATCATTCTACTACTTATATCAAGAACTAGATCCAACACATTTGCTTGCTTTATAAGTAAAGGATATATTACTAAACTTGTCTATATATGCACATCAGTACCTGATAGGACCATCATTTGATCCAAGGCGGAATACCACGACAAAACGGGATCCTTCTTCATATCCACGAATTTCAGTTCTCAAAAATTTAAGAGTACCACCATGCATCCTCAAAACAAGAGAAATCGTGTCCTCTCTTAAAATTTGAATGGGAAATGACCAATTGGCACCTTCTAGTCTCACCTAAAAGTAGAAGTGTTTTGATCATTAAAACTCAACCAGATGAAGATTGTGGACGGGAAAATTGAAAACAATCAAATGATATATATATATATATATATATATATTCAGAGACCAACAAACAGTGCAGAAACTTGCACTGTCATGCTTCTTAATTAGCTATTATGTTTTGAATGACCACACAAATTTGACATACCATGGTGTTATGACATTTCTGGCCCATCTTTACAGATAATTAACAACCTTTACACATAACCACTAATTAATTACACCGTAATTTTTATTAGTAATTCAAAATATTGTAGTTTTACAATGGTGTAATCAAATCAAGGTACATAACAGTAACTGAACCCAATTATTTCACATTCACTCAATGACAAATTATGAGTACATGTATAACAATACCATTGACAATTAATAATTTGAAATTCTAAAATTTCTCTATCATTATGTCCCAAAAGAGAAAAAAAAAACATTCCCTATTAAACCCCGACTTGCGAGTCCAAAAAGAAAAATATAGAATAAATTAAATGAGGTCAATTGCAGCAATATATCAACTATGAACTGTAGCCAACCTGGAGTTTTTCAGGTCCACCAATTCCACGACACACAAAGGATACCCTTGAATCAGAAGCACGCAAAACCTTTGGTTCATCTTCAGTGCTCAACTTGATGAATATATCTTGACCAAGTCTGTTTGTGAAAGTCATAAATGGCCGAACAGAAATTACCTGTAAAGACAATCACAAATACAAAATTATTATAACTTGACAACCAGATAACATTTATGCTACATTTGATCTTTTGTAACAACCTTTGTTGGAGCAGACTGATAGGGGCATGGTTTTGTAGAAACAATAAGCCGCAAACAATTGCCATCACCATCATATGCATATATATCCAATGAGCCATCCTAAGGATAGAAAGAAGTTAATTTTTAGAAAACCCCTGTCCAATTACTTCTCGTTTGTCAACAAATGAATCCTAACATTACCATATCACCAAGAGGAGAAAGGTCTTTAACAGGTCCAAAATGGTCATTTCCTGATTGAGCAATTGCCACTGAAAGGGCCAACATATTGAAGTTTAGAACAGACGCCATTGTGAAGCCATCATATATTTCCTCTTCAGTTATTTCTTCAAGGATTAATCCATTTTTATTTTTGGTCTGAAATTGAGCAGCAATCTTTGGCCCACGTCTTTTTCCTGACATATCAAGAATCCTAAATGAAAGTGGAGGACATCTAGCTACTTCTAACCAATAAGGAGCATAGACTCTAATTGTTTTAGCCAGTAAGGTGCGCTCTTTGTCATAGTTCTGTTCAAGAATGATTTGGATAACCCTGCACATAAGGAGGCATATAAGATGGGTTTAGTGCAAATTCACCCGTCCCTCAAAAGTAGACGTCAATAAAAATTTAGCCAAATGTATAAAAAAAAAAAATTAAAAATAATGTACTAGATTGGGAAAATTCTAACTATCCCATAAATAAATCCAGAACTTTACAACCTTCCAGATATTGAACTTCTCAAATTAATTGTTTTTGATGGACTCCCATGAGGATGGGATATAAGAACAGCTTCCTGTTAAAAAAAAAGGTGGTATATTAATATCATAATACAATATAACAAAAGTGACCAAGTAACAAAAACAGCAAAAACAAAGGTATTGATAGGCCTGTGCTTACATGTATGGGAAGCCAACCCCTTTGCGGAAGCAAAGATAAGAACAAAGGGTTCCTAATATCAGCACTGTATATCTGCACAGTTTTTCCCGATAAAAATACTCCTCTTGAGCATGCAAGAAAGTGGCCACTTGATTGCATTTCAAGAACAGAATATTCAGCAGCAAGGGGAAGGAAATTGCTAATTATTAGTGGGGGTTTTACCACTAAACACCAATCCTGAATAGCATCAGAATGGATATCTTTAGCAATCTCAGTTGCCTGTATGCTTACACAAAACCACGACTTGTGGGAGCCACCTGAGGTTCCATGCATTTCATTGCAGCACAATAGTTCCTCAGACTCTGAAAGAGCTGAAACACATAGCTTTGAGGTTTGCTCCTCCTTACTAGCATCCTCTGGTTGCCTAGGTCTGTCCACTACAGAACTCCAAGAGTACTCACTGGGGTTTGCTGAAGCCCAAGGCCTTAACTGTAAGAAATATTGTACAGATTGTGTCAATCCAGATAGAGGAAGTGGAGCAGTTTCTCCTGGTTGCAGTAGCCCAACAGATATTTCATGCTTAAGATGATCATCTGCTATTAGCTTCCTGTTTCTTAGCCATTTCCTCTGCCTAGCAGTATTAAAAGATTCCTTCGGATCAAAGGATTCGGGCCATCTCAAACTCTCCACGTCAGGAGCATAAATCCAGCTATCAGAAGTATTGGTAGATTTCGTATCCAAATGCCAATCATCAATCCATTCCCAACCTGGTGGTAGATCAATTCCAGGAAAACCCTGGATTATAGAAAAAATAAAAAAATTAAGACAAGACAAAACAAATAAAAATGTGACAGCCATCCAAACTGTAAACCAACCAGTTTACGAGCTACTAATTCTGCATATATTTCCTGTTTGATTCTCCGATTGTTTATTTTTGAAAACACATTCACCTTGTATAGATCAATGTTGTTAAAATGTAGAGTCTACGTAGACACAGTAGAGATGAGCAGAAACGTAAAATCGTGAAATGTAAACGATACGTAAGAGTTTACTACATAAGAAAAAAAATAAATATATATATATATATATATATATATATATATATATATATATATCCTCTTATATGTAACCAAAACACACCAATACATAAGTCATCACAAATTTAAGTCCAAACACTAAAGGAAATAAAAATTAAGTTCAAACTAAGTCATCATAATACATATTAAAATCAAAACACCTAGGTAATAAAATCATAAAAGAGATTAACATCTCTAATTTAAGTCGTTGGAGTCCAAGTCAATATCATCTTCTTCATCCCCTTTTCCACTAATAAATTCACCAATAAATTCAAATTAAGAAAAACAAAAACAAAAAGAAGAGAAACTCCAAATGTTGGTTGGTAATAAAACACAGGAACTTGGTTTGGATTTGGAAACTGAAGAGAAATTACCCTATCACACTGACATCCTCTATCAATGGCTCCAAAGAGAGCTATTCTGGGAGAAGTTTTGGAAGACATGGGCATGGCAACAAACACAGCGATGATAGCAACCACAACCCAAACCCATCACGTTCCACTAATAAGATTTAACCTATTGTACTATTGGACATGGTCTCGCTACCAAGAACTATTGTACTATAGCCCAATTGCAAGATTTAACCTATAAGGAGCCTTAGATTTCCAAAGTGGCTTATCGTAAGGTAAGAATCTGGGAAAAACTAACTATGGAAATAACCCAAAAAAAGAAAATCCATAATCCAAGATCTGCACTATTAATATCATTACTTAAGAAAAAATAAAACAAAACCAAAAAGGGATGCACTTCGATGGCCTTTCCATCATTCAGGTTCCAGTAAAAATCGAAGTTCCAAAAGACGATGGAATCCTAAATACTCGAAATTTTAACGGGGCTATTAGGCAAAGAAAGTCAATAAAGACAAGGATGATTATAAGTATTATATAGAATAACTTCTTTTATTGAAAAATCATAATAATTAACAACAAATAAGATAAATAGGATAAGAAATTCTATTAAAACAAGAAAGAAAAAAGAGCAAAACAAAGAAAATGAAAATAGCATCTCAAAATGTTATCAAATTTCTTCGCACTTTGCAAATCGATTGAACAAACCTCCTAAAGTGGCCATGGGCCTGCCACCCATAAAGATGCCAAGAATTAGTTCTATCACATAAAAGATGGATAAGACTGATGAAGAACTCTTGGACTACACTCTGGTCATAAACCCATGGAATAAAACACACCAATGGCCTTACACCCCTTCCTCTACAAAAGCATTTGAAATAGATGACCGGATGGTTTTCCAGAGAGGCAGTACAAATCAACCACTAATCATACTAATGCCACATAGCATATTTAAACAAAACTAATTTGATATTAAAGTTCACAAGCTTGGGGTTTGCCAAGTTCTTAATCATGATAACCATATCCTTTAAAAGTTGATATCAATTGCCTGAACATTGTTTATTGACTTCGACATGCAAGAAAAGTCTTCCATCTAAAACACACAAACATGCAATAAAAGTGATTGTGAAGACATTATTAGATGGTATATGGCTAAGTAGTGCTAGTGTAATCCTACTCAAATTGCATACCCTTGCTCTAAGGCTAGTATAATGATTATGGCAATAGTGCTTGATCTATTTTGAAATTTCATACGCATCCCATATATCACTGATCCTCTACTCTCTTAGTGCACTTGTTATTTCCAATGTCTGAAAGAGGAGAGGTCTGAGATAATTATGAGCATTTTATGCGGCTATCTGTTTGTAGCTTGGTGAGTAGAGAAAAACAAAGGTGCAGATATAAGCAATAGGAGGAGTAGCTCAAAAACAGTTCCCCATTACAAGGAAGGGTAATATCAATTCACCTGATGGGATTTTCCTGCTTCTGACATATGCTTCCCAGGATAACCTGAACAACCAACCCAACCAACGTGTGGGGTTAACTTTTCAGTCTCATAAAACTCATCTGTCTGAATCCTGTAGCTCTCTGTTTGGATAGATTCAGAATTACTTGAATTTTTCAGCAAATTCACCTTTTCTGACGAATTTTTTGAAGTGAGACATAAATCAAGAACAAAATCTGTGAGGTTACGAACAGAAACCAGAGATCGAATATTCACATATCTATTGCCATCCTTCACACTAGCTTCACTGGCAACAACAGCATTACCTAACCGCCAGCAAGCAGCAGGGGTAGCATAGTTTAGCCTCACAGTAGTCCAAGGACCTTCTTTGCTAGGACTAATTTGAATAAACCCAGATTTATGGACCTCATAACTAGAGGGTTGGTTGTTATTATCGACTTCAGAACCATGAACTAGTATGGCACATTGTAATCTGCGAGACTTCTGATAATAAGCATCCTGAAATCTCAGTATGACATTATTAAGATAAGTACTTTGAGAAAAAAAAAAAAAATACCAAATCATACACAACGTTCACCATGGAGTTTTCTGCAGACAAATCTATCCAGTTCAACTTATTAGCAAAATTTTGGGGATATGAGCAGTCCTCAATAGTTCTTGCTATCTGGTTCAAGGAAGCTGAAAAAAAGCCAACGGGAACACCTACAAGAAAAGATAAGAATCTAATTAAAAAAGAAAGCACAACATATGTGCTTTACAATATCGAGGGAACAAAAAATTAGAAACATGATAATTCTACAAAACATCAGTACATTCCAGATCTGTATCTATTGCAAACATCTGAACCGATATTAATTAGTTTGCACTTTACTTATAAGCATTGAATGTCACTTCGGTCTGGATGGAATTTCAAGGTAAGTACCTTTACTCATATCTGTTACAATTAAGTCCAAAGAGTAGTAATCCTGTAAAAAAAGCATAGAAGCCAAATTTGATGTTAGTTTCTCAATTGGAAAACCAAAATGGAGACTGAGGAGAAAATGATGCACTAATTTTGAAAACCAAATGTAAATTCTACAAAAAAAGGGGTCACCATATGCAAAGTCAAAAGAAGCATTTGAGTTCTACACCATAAAAAAAAAAAAATCTGCTTAATGGCAAATACATGATTCAACAAGCAAATTAAATGATATGGTTCAATACAAAAAAATATTATAATAAATAAAAATAAACAAAAAATTCAGCATTCACTAGTTCCAGAATGTTGAATTAAATATAGCGTGCTAGATACTTCTCCTTTTAAGGAAATCTATGTAAAATAGGTCCAGTTTAAGAACATTATCTAAACACTCAATTGGTTGACGATGTTCAAAGAGTAGCTACGCAGTAACCACTTTTTGACTTAATTAACCACCTAAATGGAAAATAGTTAATTGTCCTCAAACTGAAAATATTTTTAACAAAATTTTTTGTATTATACCTTTCATTTTTCTATACCTGGGGGACAGAATAATGTTAGTTTGTTAATAGAAACAAGAAAAGCAAATAAAAAGTGGCCAACTACTTATGTTCAAAGTAGTAGTGAGAGAAAAAGAAATGAAATGCCTTAGAGTCTCACTAACTGCTTATTGGGGGAAAAAACCAAATGAAAAATCTGCTTCATGCAACACCAGAAAACAACTCATAAGTCGGTTTTCAAAGAGATGCCAAACAGAGAATCCTACTCTACAGAAAATGTAATGGCATGGCATGTTTTCAGAAAATAGCTGTTCATTCATTTGTTTTTGTTATTCTTTCTGTATATAGCTGTAATCTTGTACTACACACTTATACTAAAATTGTACATATCCTGTTTACTATTATAAATAACACCAGAACATACAGTGCTAGACCCCGTGCATTCACAGCAATAAGGATTCTCTCTAAGATCCTCTCGCTAAAAGGTAAACTGCTCCATGAACTATATCACATAAAGTTCGAAAAAGATAATATGAAAAGTCTTATTTAGCAACTAAGTTCCAAAATATTATAAAGTTCTCACATTGAACATAGCCTCATCTTAGCCAACACATAGTTAAAAAATTCACGGTTGGATAGTAACTGAAGCAAATAAAGTTAAATCAAATAAATAATAAACATCCTGTTGAAATAAAAATAAAATCGAAAATGTTAATAGGGGAAAACTAACAAGAAATCGACTTTAAGATTATAACAAAAATATGAAATATTATTCACCCATAATAAAAATCATAAAGACTAAACTCCAAGGAATATATTACTAAGTATATACACTTCAGTTTGCTTTAAGCCGGGAGGTATTCCTCCCACCTTTAAGTCCTTAAAGGATGGAACATGGGTCCACTAACTACCTGTACGGTAGGATAACATACGTTACTCAGAAATTGTCAAACTAAATTAACAACTTTTCATATATTACTAACCACAAACTCATTAACCATTTATCCAACTGATTTAACCACTTACGGGAAATGATGCAATTAACCAATTATCTAATTAAATTATCCATACTTTATGTCACATTACTTAGGGATAACAAAACCCCTTATCCAAGTTAACCTTAATTTAACAAATTGTTAAACTCAATTAACAACTTATTTACATATTACTAACCACAAACTCATTAACCATTTATCCAACTGATTCAACCACTTAAAAGAAATGATGCAATTACCAGAACCCCTTAGGGGGTGTTTGGTTGAGGAAATTTTTTTGGAATAGTAGGAAAATAGAATTGATAGAGAAATGGTAAGAAAGTGAGATAAAGTGAGATAGATAGAAAAATGTAAAAAAAAGTTGTTTGGTTGGATAAAATTTTACCAGGAAAATATATGAAAATTTTGAAAACCTATGTTTGGTTTTGAAAAAAAATATAGATAGGTAAATGATATAAAATTACAATTTTATCCCCGATACCCTTATCCTAAACAAACAAACAGTGGCCCTCTATATCAGACGCATCCTCATCGTCCTCCTGTATAACCCACCTCGATTCGGTGGATTCCATCGAGAATCCGCCATTGATCTCCCCTCTCTCCTCCGCCATCAAATCCAAACCTTAGTGTTGAGTTTCACGAGCTGTGTTTGGCGTACACACAGTATAGTAGCAACCAATCGAAGCTTTCATTTCAGAAGGAAAACGCCATCTCTGCTCTTTCAACTTCCAGCGTGCCTCACCTCACATCACAGCCTTAATTTTTTTTTAAAACCAGAAGGAATTAATATTCTAACTTTTCTTCTTTAAATTTAAAATATAATTAGCCCGTCTTTGAAAAAGAGCTATATCTATCTCGCAAAGCATTTTTGCGATAACCCTTCTTCATGAAAGGGTGGGCTCGCACTCGCAGGCCCCAGGCACTATTTGAATGCAAATAAACATAAAAAGAAGAAAATATCATTATCAACGAGAGGGTATAATGGGAGTCCAAAAAGTGTGTGAATAGTGCGATGTCTGGGTTTTTCAAAAAAACCATCCTCACATTAGCTTTCTCAACAGTGCAAAAAGCAATCTTTCTCATCAAAAGTTAAAAAATCCATGCAAATGATATGGATGGTTTTTGATAAAAATCGGTTGAAACAAACGTGGTTATTCTAAAATCTAAACTTCATTTGCATAGGTATCTGTTAAAAAGCTTGTAACCAAACGCCACCTTAAAGATAAGCATAGAATCCACATGAATATATAATGGGACCAATTACCCATTAACCAATTGCACCAAAAAGGAGATAAAAAAGTGTGTAATTCTCACAACATCATATTTCATTTTTATATAAAAAGAAGTTTGGCTACTGAACAAAGAAACAACAAAAATAACTTAATAATAAAAATAATCAAATAAGTTCAACAACAGTTTCCAATCCCTCCGCATATCTATTAAAGAAAGCCATAAGCTAAACAGCATGAAGCAGCCACAAAGATAACCCTATGCCTTAAAGCACAGTGACAACATATCATTATGTTCCAATCATGGGCCATATACTTCTCGAAATCTAAGGATTATGCTCCAACCAAATGCATCAAATCACAGCATAACAAGAACATAGCCAAATATTTTCGTTGGCCTTGCTCTAGCCATAATACCTAAAACAAATAAGAACAGACACATCCAAATTCTGAGTACATTTTGAGCACTCAAAAATAACCAAATAATCTATTCCAAATGAATTTGGCCCTTAGGAAATGCAAACATAAATGACCAGCAATTTCCAACACAACTCACCTAGAGAAAGAATAAATAAAAGCAATTAAAGATAATTATCCGGTACCAGGGAATCAACTTTGAAGAAAAATATTTCATTCCACTCGACTAACTCAAGATCCGAAGGCAATAAATGATGTGCACTTCTTCCACATGTACGTGCACTCTGTTGATGAACCAATGCATCAGTAGGGAGGCTCTGATTAGGAGAAAGACGGACAGCCACTGTATATTGCTGGGAATCTGAAACTTCAACTCTGGGGAACTGCATTAGAAATATGATAAATTTTTAGGCAATTGAATAATAAGCAGCATTGAAGGTTAATAAACCTGAACACTCTGTCTGCCAAATGCCAAAATCAAATATTAAATCGTAGGCTACAAAAAGAATCAAAACCATACCTGTGCTTCTGCTATGATGATTGTCACCAGTGTTCTAACCTTTCTACAAAGTTTACCCTTTAAATGAGATTCTAGCATATTTTTCGACACAGGAACTTTCACGGCCTTCATGTCCCCAGATGGCATCCTAATTATATTTTCGAGATCCCTAGCTTCAGTAGCACGGATAAAAATATCCTGACCAAGTTTGTTTTGTGGGATTATATAATAATTTCTCTTGTGGAGTGGGTCAATGATAGAGTTTCCACCATAAGTTGGAGAAAATGTATCCTATTAGATGTCACCACCCCCAAAAAAAAAAAAAAAAGAAAGAAAAGGAAACATGTAACCATGTTAACACATAGGTAAAACAAAAGAGGTGTAAAATAGAGAAAATCAAATACAATGAGAAAGACAGACTTTAGGGAAGCAGAAATGAGAGAGGTTAAAGAAAATTTACTCTATTTTTATAACACTCATGAGCACTGCTAAGGTTGTTCCAGCTTGCATAAGCTTGAATGATCATATTAACATTAGAAACTGAAACATTTAAATTCAGATCTCGAGTTGATGTTAAACGTAATTGAGAGGCTGCTGCTGGGGCATTAAGGTCATATTGGTACCTACGAGTAGCAGTAATTAGAAAAAAAAAAAAAAGAGAGAGAAATTGGAACTAAAATATAATTTTGATACATGCAAGCACAACATTTTAAAATTAAAAAAAAAAAATCAATTAGTAAAATAATAAATTTCATATATTATTTGCGTTAACATCAGTTGAAATTCAAGTAATTCTGAATGTTATTTACTCGATCATTTTTATACAAATGTTTACAATATATGGAAGACACATGTGAACAACTAAAATAAAGAGCTGATTCTAGGAAAATAAATAACAAGCAAATCAGACTTATGATTTATCACATGTCTTCCCTATAATATGTCCCATCATAATCTGTCTAGTAAAGGAAAAATGAATCTATAAAAATTACACAATTATTCTATATTCACAACAACATTTAATAGGAAGGGAAGCAAAAAAGGTAGACCCTCCAATCAAAATGATAGTCCGAAATCCCCTTTTCCTTTTCTTCTCTTTTTTCAAACATTAATAGGGGAGGATGAGATGTCCTCCAAAACAGAAATATTAAGCCAATCTATTCTGGTATCAAGAGCAACATTAGATTAGAACCATAGTCACCACCAGCTACCATAAAAAACAAATAGTATATTTTGGTTGCTTTTTGCCTTTATTTCTGCATTAGTTGCTGAGTTTTGGCTACACTTTGGCTCAACTGCCATCATTGTCTATTCCAGCCACATGATAATGCTCAAGCCGATTCAAGTTGTTTCAAACCATTCGTAGGCAATTTAGCTCTTTTTTCAGAGCCTGGTTCAGTTTTGCATTCCAGAGAATTTTTATAAAATTTTTTAGGTCTTCTACAGTCAAATTTCAGGCTTTCTGGTTGTTTGAAGCTTCCAAAATGTTGTTCTTGATAAATTTGGAGAAGTTTAGGCCTTGCTGTCCATGACTGATTGCCATGAAAATTTCTCTTCCTTGACCATGCAACATTCTAATCTTACTACTCCAAAGAACAATGTCAATAACTTTCCGTCCCTACTGCTCCAATATTCCCACATATTAATCATTAAGGAACTGGTACAAAGTAGATGGACTGACCCAACATCCTTTTTTAACTCAATTCTCATTTTCATCAACCAAAGCAAACCACTGATCACAACAACCAAAGCACTTGAAGATTTTACCAAAGGTAACATATATTACGAGAATACTATAATTTGTAAACACGGATCAATTACCTTAAGAATCCATCTACTGGCTCGAGAAGAGGCTCCCAAGCTTCATACTTATCATTATATGACCTGGCAGCCATGGAAAAACCAACAGTGCAATTCAAATACCCAGTTCTTCCATGCAAACTAAATGTTATTCCACTCATAGATATATTGAACAAAGGAACCATCTGTCAAAATTTAAAGAAAAGTAGTCAATACAAAGGTAAGACATAGCCATAGATCTTGTTAGAGATGTAATATAAAATAATTTATGCATCTTTACCTAACAAATTAAGCTTTTGGGATAGTTGGTTCATGATATGAGAACCTTTATGACTAAGTGGTCTAGAATTCAATCCTTGTTACCCACATTATTAATAAATAGGGAATTTCGGCATAAGGTAGGTTGGCTTATACATTATCCATGTTTCAAGTCCAAAAGGGCTCTTATGTGAAGGAGCGCATTAGATATATAATATAAAATCATTTATGTGTCTTCACCAGGTAATTCGTCCATAACAGATTTCATGCTTTCCATAGTCTATAACCGAGAGAGATATCCCACAAAATCATCAAATTAAAGTTTCAGATTGGCCAGAAGAGAACAGAAGGTTGGCATAATTTAAACTAGTACAGAAAGAAGACCCCCATCCTTTATTCCAATCTTCCGTTTTTCCCGAAAGTTAAATATTACATTTTTTTGTATTTATAACTATTAAAATGAGGAAGAAAGACGTCATTCTAACACTTACCACTCACACTTAAACACCATTATTGAAGCAATTTCTATAGTTTCTCATTTAACTTTAAAGTTCAAACAAAAAACAAAGGGGATTGACATAGTGCATGTAAAAAATATAGTTGTTTAGAAAGTATTAATGCAAAGCCCACTTCCCAAAGAAACTGGAAAGAAAGAAACAAAAAGAAAACAGACAACAAAATAACTTCACAAAATTTTATATTGAACAAGAGCCTAATCTTTAAAGATATTGTTAAATATTGTTAAAAATAGCTTAATTTGATTACATTTGGTTTGACTTGTAGTTTCCTTGTTTCGTTTTTATCCGTAATGGTAAATCCTATATATATAAGGAATGGGGCTGAATCAATTTCCTTAAGCCACATCCAAAAGTACTCGTGACATGGTATCAAGATCCAGAACCTGTCCTTTTAACCCATGTTCCAGTGATTTGAACCAAAGTAGGTCCTCACTCTAGAGATGTAAAATACTATGCCAGATATGTCTGAAACTGCCCAGAACCAACCAACTGGCAACCCTGCCAAGCATCATAATCATAATCACCTCCAACTCATTGTCTATGCATGGATCTCACACGACTCACACATACGACATTAGACGGCGCATGCATCTCAAGCGCCACTCAACCATTGACGGATCTCCACACTTCCAGTCGCTTGTTGGAGTCCCGACTTGGTAGTGGATCTTTGAATATCACTTTGTTTGGGCACGTTTTTTGCTGTTTTCACCCATTCTTCTTGTTGCATAACACGTCTCAACCCATTCTTTTGATCTTTTGAGCAATTATGGCCTCAAGTCCAAGTTCTACATTTGAGTCTTAAGGTCCTCACTTATCCAAAGTCATCAACCCGATTCGGAATGTTCTGTATCTTATGCTTTCTCCGGTACCCCTATAATCACTTTTGAAAAGTTGAATGCTAAGAGGGTCACTCATCATCTTGAAAAGTCAGCTTTCAATATTCCCTCAGAAGATCGAAGACAATGGGAGAGGTTTGATTATCAATTGTGTTCTGTGTTCTGGCAATAAGTAGAACCCGATATTGTAATCAATTTCAAGACCTTTAATACGTGTTACTTTTTGGAAAAAGATTTGTAGTCCATTTGCTAATTATAGTCAGCCTAGAAATTAGCTTCCCTTAAATAGTCAGATCATAACATGAATGGTTTTTTTACTCAGGTGCAGGCTATAGTGGAGAAGTTGAAGATGTTTTGCAGGATGACAATCGTCAAAGCTTATTAAACAAATTGGATAACTTATACGTGGTGCTAGTTTTGCATGCCATGCACTCTGACTTTGCTCATGTCCTATATCAACTTTTGACTGGCCAAGAGGTACCAACCATGGACTCAATTTTCACTTGTCTCTTGAGTTCCTACACCTATAACTACAGATTACCACTCCAACAACATTGAAACATCGGCCTTTGTAACTGCCTCAGGATCTCATGGTGGACATGATGAGTATGTGGCAATAGAGGAGGTTGTGGTGGCCATGGTCGCAATCTGCATTATACAATCAGGCCACACTCAAGAGACTTGTTATTCCATTCATGGTTTTCCCAAGAAAATTGTTAACAGCACTCAGTATGATTGTCTTCAACAAGAAGAATAGAGATCTAAAGCCCCCTTGAGTAAACCACCCTTAACTCTATCAAAGATGGAGTTCTAAGAGTATCTCCAATCAAAGGCAGCAAGGCAGACTCGGTCCTCTCCTACCATCATTGCTCAAACAGATAATCTTACCAGACATATTTCTATTACCGGAAATAATCCAAATTCTTGAATTTTTGATTGAGATGCCTCTAATCATGTAGCTTGTATTTCTTCTCTCTCTTCACCTGATTTTCCTCATTCTATCACCTTAGCTAATGCTTCTACAGTGTTTACCCAAGGCATTGGTCAGGTTTCACACACTACATCTGTATTATTAAAATGAGTTTTATTCTTAACCCGGATGTCCTTTTAATTTGATTATTTTAAGTCAGCTTACCAAATCTCTTAATTATTCAGTAACATAGAATTCTGAGTCTTTTGTCATTCATTTTCGTGGTACGGGACAGACGATTAACGTAAGACATGAATCACAAGGATTTTATTATCTCAAATGAACCCATCATGTGCAGTGTGCTGCTACTGAATCTCTCAGTCTTCTCCATTAGCATCTCGGTCATCCTAGTTTGTCAAAACTTCAGCAAATGGTTCCATGTTCCAAATCTTAGCAAGTTTAAAGTCTCTCAATTGTGAGTCGCATCAATTTGGGAAGTATGTTTGGGCCTCCTTTACCAATAAGATCAAGAGTCAAGCAGAGTTTAGTTTTCCCATCGTTCATTCTGATTTATGGGTTCTGATATATGGGGTCCAAGTCATGTCTTAACTCTCTCCAGATATAAATATTTTTGCTATATTTATTGATCATGACATACTTGGCTATTCTTAATGAAAGAATGGTGTAAGGTGTTTTCTGTACTGCGATTTTTCATACTGAAATTCAAAATCAATTTGGCAAGTCCATTAAAATTCTACGTAACAACAATGCCAAAGAATATTTTTCTACTAAATTCTCATAATTTATGTCTTCTCATGGTATTTTACGTCAATCATCATCTGCACAGATACGTCAAGAACCAACTCTTCCAAACGCTTATGTTGTTAGGTGAATCTAATGAATAGTGTTAGAATAGTATGTTAAAGTAATACAATGAATACAATAGAATAGTTTCTATACTTGTTAATATAAATATATTCCCTGTTGCTCGCATTAGACACACAATTATCCAATGAAGTTGGTATCGGAACTTTTTTTTCTAGGAACTTTCGCTTCCGCTAAAACCCTAAGCCCACTGCTTAGGTGTGCCAAAACCCCAATCTCACTGCTTAGATGTTCTCTCCTTCCTTGTCATGCGTCTCTCCGGCTTGCAACAATTGGAAACTCTATCCACTGCCGGAATCATCGTTCACGGCAAGAGTTACTGTTCACCCTCAGAAACATTGTTCATTGCTGGAAACACTGTACAGGCATCCTTTTTGGGTCGTTTCAAGACAGAACTGCACGGTTTTGTCTCCTCCTTCAAGATCTGCTCTTGGTTCATCGTGGGTCTCTTGTTTGGCTATCGGTTTGATTTTATTTGCTTTGTTCTGCAAGTTTTTATGGCATTCATAATGGTAGAATCATCTCTGTTGAGATATATAAAACCATTAATGTAGCCTCCCCCAACAGCTTAAGCTTTTGGGTTGAATTAGATCTTTACATGGTATCAGAGCCTTGGAGTATCGGGTTCGATCCTCACCGCTCCCCACTTTCTTTCAAGTGAAATTTCTTTCTTTGCACAGGTAGGTGGGCCTATGCATCGTCCACCCTTCAAGTCCAGTGGGCTCTCGTGTGATGGGACGTGTTGAGATATATAAAACCATTAATGTAGCCTCACCCAACAGCTTAAGCTTTTGGGTTAAATTGGTTCTTTACAATCTCTTGTTCACTCGCATGTCAATTCTCCTCCTCTTCCTACCAAAAATTCCTCGGGTATCATCTCCACTAAAGTTGGGCCCATTACCTCCTCCAAACTGAAGGGTTCTGTTAACTACATGAATTGGGCCACCTCTGTTCGTGTCTGGTTCTTTGGACAGGGGCATGGGCGACATCTCACAATTAAATCTACTCTATTCCTAAGGAAGAAAAATCTGATTGAGAATGGATTGACAATCAACTTCTGAGTATTCTTCGGAAGTCTATTGATCTAATCGTTCTGGACATTTTCTATTCTTTTCAAACATGCTATGAAGTGTGGGAGGAAGCTAAACACCTCTACCCTAATAATATTCAGCAGCTCTATTTCATCATTTCTCAATTTATGGATTTGCGCAAATCATCTGACATTTAGATGGATCCATATGTTGGCAAAAGTCAATCTTTGATACAGGCGTACTTGGATATGTTGCCTTACCCTACTGATGCTTCTGCATATAGGAACAGGTAGAGCGCCTCTTTATGGTTGCCACTCTTTTTGGTCTGCCCAAGGAGTATGATAGTGTCCATGACACTATCTTGACTATTGGGGATCCTGATTTATCACTGACTTACCAGCACCTTTTGAATCTCAACAAGAAACCAGTGTCTGCTCCTTATTCATCTTTTGTTGTTGATTCCACTGCTCTTGTTTCCCACACTGACTCTCCCGGGAATAGTGGTCACGGACATGGCCAGGGCCAGGCGAACGCGGTCAGAGACCTTGTAGTTATTGTCAGCAACTTGGTCTATGACCCTCTCATGCTGCAAATATAGCTCAGTCGGATACTACTTCATCTGATTCAATTTCTCTCTCCCTACAAACTATACAACATTCCAGAAATGAGTGAAATCATGAATAAAACAGGTACAGCCAAAGACATGTGGGTATAGAGGATATAGAGGAGTATCTGGAAACAACAGGT